ATCAAATTCAAAAAAGCAGGTTTAAGTCAAAAAAAGTTAGCCGAGATCCTTGAGATAACACAGCAAACAATAATTAGGTGGAAGAAAGATAAAGATCCTTTCCGCAAAAGAAAAAGAAAACCCAAAGATTATGGAATTATTCCTGAACTCTTAAGATCTTACATTATTGATGAGGATAACAAATATACTCAAAATGAATTAGCTGATTTAGTTTCTAAGGAAACAGGTCAGCAAATAACACAAAAAAAAGTTTCCTATATTTTAAGAAAGAGACTTAATTATACCTATAAAAAACTCACTTATCACTATACCCAATTGGACGAGGAGAAAGCAAAAACATTCAATGGGGAAATTAAGCCTTTGCTTGAAACTAATCCTTTTATAGCAATAGATGAATGCTCTTTTTACCCCAATCTAAATCCAAGGTTCGGTTATTCCTTAAAAGGTGAAAGGGCAGTTTCTAAAAGACCCAGTCATAAGGGCAAGCATTACACCCTTTTATTTGCCGTTAGCAATTTAAAGAAAAATGGGGTTATTCATTGGAAACTAGTTGAGGGGAGTGTAGATTGAAAAGTGTTCTATGACTTTTTAGAGGAAATAAAACCTATCGGAAACAAAAGGAATTACCTGATAATGGATAATGCTAGAATACATACTGCTTTTGGAAAGAGAAAGGAAGCAGGATTGCCTAGTGTAGAGGAGCAAATGCTAAAAAAGAATATTGAAGTAAGGTTTATTACTAAATATGCTCCTATGCTGAACCCAGTTGAGTTATGTTTTAATTTTTTAAGACAACGAACAGAAAGGAGTAGATCCAGAAATTACGAAGAAATGAGGTTGGCGATTGAAAAAGCTGTTAAACTACTAAATAAGAAAAGTCTTTTAAAATGATTTCGGCATTGTGTAAATTATTTTGACAAGAAAGACAAGTCAAAGAAAAAAAGATTAAAAATAGGTTATAAGAAAATTAACATTTTATTTGAGTAGCGTAATATGAACCCGCCACTTTAAAAATCTATCGCCAGGGTTTATCCTCTTATGCCAAGTTTCAAAAAATAGATATTGAATGAGAACTAATTACCAAAATTATTCCTACTATTCAACCGCGATTTTTTGCGACCATTAATAAAGAGGAACTGGAATTATTAAAACAAATGGAAATAACTGTTAATAAAAGTATCAACGAACGCAATAATTTAATGTTAGATCTTTTGTTTTATACAGGATTAAGGATAAATGAGTTAAGAAATATTCGCCATTGTGATTACCAAGCGGGAAGTTTAAGAATATTAGGTAAAGGGAATAAAGTTAGATATGTGTTTTTACCTCCTTTTTTAGTGAAATATTTTAACCCTTATTCACGGAATTATTTGTTTACTACTAAACGCCAACCAAAAATATCTAATACCCAAGCCCGAACTATTATTTATCAGAAAGTAAAAAAGGCGGGAATGATAAAAAAAATTAGTCCTCATACTTTTAGGAGGAGTTTTGCCACTATCTTAAATAATAAGAATGTCCGTTTAACTACTATTCAAAAATTATTAGGACATTCCCAAATTGCCACTACTTCTACTTATATTCATAATTCTTACGAGGAACTTTATAAGGATTATAGTAAATTGTGGATTAAAGATGGTGTAGAGAATTTTTAAGTATTTCAATTGAAAAATTAATTAACCAATAAGAAAATAAGGGGTAAAAAGATAAGGACAAAAAAACGATTATTATGGATAACTGTATTCACTGATTTTATTTGTGTTGTGGTTTTTTGGCGGTGATTTTAATAATTGTCGCTATATCTTATAAGTATAACCTAGAATTAAAAAAAGATAGTGTAAAATTAAAGGTCGCCCACGACCAAAATAAACAGAGAATAAAAGAATTAGAAAAAAAGAACGGATCCGAACAGAAACAAATCGACCAATTAAGAAGCGAAATACAAAACATTCTATCAACTTTACAGAGTAAAGACAAACAAATAACCGAATTAAAGGAAATTATAAAGAAAAACCAAGAAAAAAATTAAAATATTATTCCGACTATGACTAACGATCTAATATTTTCCGAGGGATATGGTGAGATTTATAAAAAGTTCAGTGAATTATTAGAGGAGGATTATTTAACCAAAATAATTATCACCAGTAGAGGAACAGGCAAAAGTTATAATGTCAAATTGAAAATATTAGAGTGAATAACCCACACCGATCGGGAACTAATATGATTAAGGCGTAGTTTTGATAATATTCGTAAATCCTCATTAGAACCCTGAAAAAAAATCTTGGATAATTATTGTTTTAAACATACCAAAAATAAATATAACCGCAAAGATTTTGAGGAAATATGAGAGGCCATAACTCGCGGGATTAAATATAGAAAAGTAATGCGTTTACATTTTATAGAGTTATATAAAAGCGAGGATGCCCGTGAATTATTAGACCAAAACACGGATATTATAATGGATGAGGCCATACCTAATCCCAAAGGCAAAGACAAGACTAATTTAAAATATTTAGATGATGAGGATATTTTGTATGATGAATTATACGGATCGGCCTGACGAGAACGCCCCAACCTAAAAAAGAAATTACCCCGCAAAATATTTGTCGCCAATCCTTACGATCGATTTGGACCTTTTATGAAACCTTTTAATAATTACCTGAATAAACATTTAAAGGAATTGAAGGAGAAATTATGGAAGGAAAAATTAATTAGAATAGAAGTAGAGGAAGAAAATTTACGGGGAGAAATAGAAAAAAGTTTGTTATTTTTATTCGCCACCGAACCCAAAAGAGAATTATTTGAAAAAGAATGAGATAACTTTTTCTTACTGAATGAAAAATTGGGGATGATTGAACCGCCCAAGAATTACGAAATTATTTACAAAATCCAAGGTCTTTTTTATTGCCGCCAATTAAGAACAGGCAAATATTTTTTTATTAGTGAAGGTAATAATAAATTGCCTGTGCCAAGATGGGCCGAGGAAATATGTCTAATTAATGAGGATTACAGAAGGAGTGAACGCAAGAATAAAAGATTGTTAGATAATCAAGGGATAAAAGAATTAGTAAAAGAATATTTGGAGGATATTAATAGTAATATATTAAGATTTGCCGATTTTGAGAGTAGGCAACATGTTCTTTTTAATATAATTGATAAAGTAAAGTTGAATATTAATTTATAATTGCGGTTCCAATTGAAAAAAGTATTAAAATATTAGGCAATTATATATAATTTTACACTAAAACTAAAAATAGGAGCCTCATAAAGACTTTTATATTTTATAAATAAAATAT